TAAAACAGTATATTTCTATCCCTTGATTTCTGTACTATTTATAATAATATTAATTATGAAACGTATCATTGATATTCCATTATAGAACGAGGAATATATCTGGTGAAACTATTTTCGAGTGCAAAAGGTTAATGTTGGATTGTAGTATAAATAAGTTCGGTTGTATACAATATTCTTTCGTTATTACTATGAGTAACTGTTTTTTACTTAAAGAATTAGACGTTTATATTTGAACAATAATGAAACGAACTTGGCCTCGTTTTACAGTGCGATATTATCATCCCATAGGAATAAACCCTAGTTCTTCGATGATGAATCATTTCTACGGAACTCGCTGATCAGAGCTGTCAATAGGAATGTAAAAACTCCAGCGATCATTGGGAAATATCCCTATTTCTTAGAATCAGTATCAGTATCATTCTAGGAAACTCTTGAAATCGCCTCGGTCATTGTTCCTATAATATTTCAATTAATCTTACGTGTAATCTTACTATCGCTATCTTTTACAACATGATTAATGACCAGCAAAAAGCCACCGAAATAATGGAACAACAAATGAAACTTTATTATTGCCCATCCATCTGGTAAAACCTTTCAGCAGAAAATTACAAAATTTCCATTAGATTAAAAACCTGTAAAATTCTAAATAACGGAACTCATCTTCGAAAATGTTTTTCATATTCCTGCGAGTTAAAAAAATATTAATCATTGCTATTAAAATGTAAATATCGAACTATTTTAAATTTCTATGATATCGGATTTTTCACAGCGCCCACGCAGAGTGCAGCGTTATCACGTACATACTAAAAATAATAACGATAAATATAGCACGCCTTTGTTACATCGCAAGAGAAAAAAGAAGAAGATATAAATATGCAAAGATAAATCAAAGAAAGTACGACTGCATTCGTGTTCAACAGGATTGCTCGTCGTCGGTCCCATATTCCTAAATATGCAAACAAGGTTCAGAGAACGTATCTCCTTAATCTCGTTATCTCCTAATTATACGAATAGCATAGAATTACCAGAGAACAATGATGTTTAACAATTTGCCATAAATTTCATTTAACAACGGTGACAATGAATTCTACTCGCGTCAGTATATTCAAGGCAACCGTTTAAACGTTTCGAACCTGAAAGATATCCTCATTTCTCTGGAAGTCATCCGCATTTTAACTAGCCGCTGAATGCAAGTCCATAAAGTGTCTAGAAACCTTGTCCTTCCCTGTCAAATATATAAAATTTGGCACGTGTACACTTCCGTAATACGCGCGTGCGTATATCGCACGTCACGACGTGTCACGGTTGAAGATATCCGGAGCCTGCGATATTCAACCCCTTGTCACATAATTTCTCTCGTAACTGCACTCGTCAGGACTACTTTATAGTTAATAATTTACTAGAAAAATACGGGAATTTTATTCTAATTCAACGTGCACGTTCACTTCGAAGCATAACGACTGATGGCAGATAAATAATATTTAAATTCGACTCGAAACAACCGAATGCCATTTAGTTTTTCGAAATCGTCGTCACGAGTTAATTTGCCCTATGATTCCATTCATAATTGAAACTATTTTATCATTAGCGATTTAATAAGAAAAGAATAGTGCCACGGAAATTTCGGTCATTTGCTTATGAACTGTATTGGTTTTTTTAATAAAATATTCAGTTATACTCAAGTTTTTTCTTTAATTTTATGTATTTTGATATCGTTTCTTGACCATGTGTCCCTTAATAATATCTTGTTACAAAAATTAACGTGTACCACATGTGCACGTGGCACTGAACGTGTTAAAGGCTACTAGCAAGCGACCAACATCTCGTTTACACGAAGAATAAACAAACATTCCGGTCGATCGAATCCGGTGGAATATTTTTATTACTGGCTCATCATAGGGGAAAGGGTTAATCGAAGAATTTCAGTTGATCGTTTGTTGGTAAAAGGTCGACTTCCACCTCGTGACGGTATCGAATGGCGGGGCATTAGACTTACGTTTAACTTGTCCCCGATTTAACGATCTTATCCTGGTCGAGAGACTTCTTGTTACACCGCCTGAGATTGACCTGTAAACCGATTACGCGGCAGACTCGCGCGCCGCGTTCCTTTGTATCCTGTAATAAACCGGACAGCGGCGGACTTACATAAACGCGTAAGGAAATTCCATCTAAGGTTGCGGCGAGGTCCTCGCGCGAGCCGCGCGGTGTCTTTCCTTAACCGTTTGAGTGCTGAGGAGCGCCATAGCGCTATGTTTATCAGTATCAATTATAATTTTCTCACTACGTTCTTCAAAAAATAAATCGAAGTAAATTTGAATAAATGTTATTTTCTGATATTTTTTTGTAATAACACAATATTTGTGATCTCATTAAATAAGTACTCTTATTTTTTTGCACACACTCAATCACTTCCGCATTTTTGGTAAATATCCAAAAGTTGTTTAGCATCCAAACGGTTGACGCTAGAACTGCCGAGCAGTTGAATTGATTTTCCAAAATTTCTTCTATGGAAACTCAAAGAGTGCATTCATTGAATCTTCAATTGATTTACAATTCAGTCCTTTAATAATTCCTCGGAGAAACATGTTGTCCTTTTGATAATTGCAAAATGAAGGAATCAGGAATGAATCATTTTGACCCGTCTGGTAATTTTAATGTTAATTATAGCATTAACACTTTAACGTCGCTCGAATTCGGATTACACGATTTTCTACATTAATTTGAACATTGATATGAGAAAGATAGTAGAGTAATTATTACGAAGAATCTCGAGTTCTTAGCCTCTGCTGAATTGAGAACACTGTTTCGATCGCATATGAGTTTTGAGTGTTCACTTGGCAGTCGAAGCGTTAAAATTGTTCCAGTTTTCTGGTTTCTTTAGACATTCGTTATAGAATTTAAATGGAACTGTCTATTTTCAAAATCATGTCGGATATTTAGTACTTCTAAGACATCGACAATCGCGAAACAAGGATACTGAAACCAGTAATTTTCACTGGCACGGTAGTTCCAATATTAATCATACCGTAGAATTAACCCTTCGCTTCGCTAATGCCAGAGATGCCATTAATATGATTCAACGAGACAGACTGCACATACCCTCATTCACACTGCAAACTTAAATATGCCGACATGATGCAAATTCCTACAAATGTTCTCAACGGGATATACCAGACACGCTACTCGATATCAGGAAGCCTGTCCTAGCTTGACACTCGATGGCACTCACCTTTGTATTCCTTCCGGTTGATTAAAACACGACTAAGATTTATGGTACACCGAGAAAGGAATTCCAAGGGTGGATTCAAGGATATTCTACTTTACTTTTATCGCTGCTACACGCTTGTGCCATCTGTTTTAACAGCCAAGGGTGTTAAATAAGAAAGTTTAAAGGGCCTGATTATCGAGACATTGTGTTTGACGTCATGACGAGTATACTTGTCATGGTAAAATGACCATTGGCTATTTAAATTGTAATTTCTGTGAAAAGCTAATGATCACTACTTTTTACCACGACGAGTATACTCGTCAAACACAGTTAACCCTCGAAAGTTTTTCACTGGAAATATTTAACATTTTTCGACGAGATACAGACGACCTGTTTGAAACTAATTTAACGATCATTCACAGATAAATTAATCAAAGTAATTTTATTTAAATATTTTCCATAGCAATACAAAGTTTCATTTAAAATACTAAATATTCAATTTTATAGTTTTACTGTATCAAATCAAGACTGAGAGTCACTTCTCGAGTGCAAAGGGTTAACAGGTTAAGCTTGAAATTTCGTGTATATCTCAGTAACCAATACATTTAAAAATTCCAAGCGACATTCGATACACCGAAGTGTACACGATGAATCTACCAAAAAAACGCCGCATTCGAAAATTGAATTTTGACCAAGTTTTCGCCGAAAGGCACCGCTGTGCGGCGAACCACGCAGAACCACGCAGAGTTCTCCGCGCCACCGTATTTGTATATACCGGGTTACCCGCGTAAAAATACTAACCTACATCGAGCGGAGCTCGGAGCGCGTGTCGAGCAACGTGACTTCTGACTCGCCGATATGTGCCAGCAATCTTGCTGCTCCCCGCTAACCGGTGCGCTCGTTCCGCCCCGCCGCGCCGGGACGCCGTCTATGCGCAACCACGTTTACATGCAACGTGGATAGCTCGTCCAAAAAGTCGAGGACGCCGCTACCTGTGCGCTGCACGCCGTGCCTGAAATGCTCCGAACGTGACGCCGACGTTGCGCGAACGCTTTTATCGCCGGTTGCGCGAGAGATGGCACTTTGGTCTTATTGGTCAGTTCTTTGGATGTCCTTTATTTCGTTTTCAATAGTGACTTTGCGGTTCGATGTGATTGCAACTGATTAAGACTATAGACGAAACACGTGGCGTGTTCAATTATGATTAGATGAGAATGAAGGTCATCGAAAGGTCAGGTAGTGTTGTTTTTAGATATTTACATAAAAATAATAGGACGTTATTTTGCGACTGATTCAGTTAATAATTCTCGATCGTGAAGGTTAGTTTTTAAGAACGGTGTTGAAAAACTCCTGTAAAGAATTGCGGATGAATTATACGACAGGCTGCAATCAATATTGAGTTGTCTTCGAAAAAATTGTCTGCATACTGAATCATTTGCATACCGGTTTTGGAGAATAAAGAATACCATAACTGCACGTGAATCAGTTTTTCTTAACCCAACGATTTCTTGCAATTGCCTTCGAGATATTTAACGTCCACGATCCATTAGAAAAGGAGAAACTCTACATATACCCTATCTACGTTTCCTCGGAAGCATTACAATCGATAATAGGGAAGCAACATCCACTTCGAACTTGTGAGAATCATGTGACGCTTGTATTTGTTAAATTCCATTTGAAATCTTCGCCGAGAATCTGACGCGACGTTACGAGGGAAGGGGTTCGATTCCCACAATTCCAGCTGATAAATGAAGCCGCCGTTATCTTATCTGTCCTCCTTGTGTATCGTCGATCTTATTGTTAGTCGCGTCGCCGATAGAAATAAAGTTTCTCGCTGCGACTTCCCTTGCTATTCGAGTAACCAGCATCGAGCCTTGGGGACGAACGGATCAATCGGTTCGGTCTTGGCCGAATGTTCGTACGCGGCTGCGCGTGACAGTTCGATCGCGCCGAAACCGATTCCGAGGATTGAAAAACGACGAGGCGACTGTGAGAAACTTGTTGATCCGCGCCGCGACGGGTACAGCGCGCGGGCTCGTTATCCCGTGAGCAACGACCACGGAGTACATTTCATAATTCTACAAATAGTTTCACTGGCGCAGTTAAATCTGTCTGCGGCGACCCCGATTTCGCGCAGCCACGAGCCGAGTGCTGAAACCTTGACTCGCTCCGTTCGCGGTTAGCGGGACGAAAACACCGAAACCTCGGGGAAAAATCGGCTGAGCCGGTAGCTCGCTGCGCCTTCGAGTTATCCGAGATAATTAGCTGCCACAATCGGCTTCGAATTTGGCGCTCGGACTATCGGCCGCGTGCGTAACGCCGCGCGTTCGCCGCAACGATTTCTAAGAATTAATAGTCAGGAATGACGATATTACATTCTTGCCCCAGTTTAACATTTTATCGCGCCGGTATATGGTATTGCTATGTGATATTCGCGGGGCCGGAGTGACACGGGACATTCGAATTAGAGGGAACTTCAGGGAATCGTTGGTTTGAACGTTAATCGTGGTACAGTGAACGATGAGTAGGAATATTGGTGTTTTCACAAAGATAATAGTGTAGAAGATAATATATGATATCAAGAGAAAAATATAATATGTAATAATAATGTCCTCTACGTCGTTTGAAGTATTCGAAATTCACTAGAATCTATTTCGTCAAACAATCTCAAACTTTTATGTCATACTTGTAACATGATAACAGAACTCATAAGTAACCTACTATTTCCAAACTTTGCCAAACAGCTTCATTCCAATAGATTCTATTCTACAACGGAATGAAACAACCAACAGTCCATTCCCAGGATTGTCTTAACAACGGACGCTATTAACACGAAAGTATCTACTATTAAACCACGTTCCGCAACGAATTACTTTGCATACATGGAATGCTCATGCACAGGCGCGTGCACCGATTAAACTTGTTCAATACCGATTTCCTCGGAACTTGCACGATCGAACGTGCTTGCGTTTCCGATCAACGCAATCAAGAGAGCTTGACGTTACGCCATCTAAACGAGCAACGAAAACGATTCGCAGCGAACGCCGAAAATCGAAAGCGACTAATCGGCATGGCAAAGCCTGGCGAATCGAACGTTCCATCCCCCTGCACGCTCTCCTGGGTTCCAGCAATTTGAAGTTTTCCGCGGTGAATCATCCTTCCCGGCGCAAATAAAATCGCTGTACTACTTTCCACGCCCACTCACGCGTGCACGCGCATTCATCGGCATTCATCGGTCATAGAGAAGCCCCTCTCCGATTCTTCTGGCGTCCGTGCGCGCCGATGCCGGCCGTGTGCACGGACACCGGCGCGGAACGACCAAGGTAACTCTCACTTTTTCTCTGAACGACACTGAACGTCCCCAGAAACAGAACGCAGCCGTAATTGCGAGAGAGGCGCGGGCCGGCCGGCCCATCGCCAATAAGAAGCAATTAACGAGCCGCATTGTTGACGGAACGGAATTTTCGCGGGGAATAATGGAATTGTTCCGAGCGGCGCGCGAGGGGATTAAGCGTTATCGCGATACTCGTTAAAATTTTCCACCCGTTTCACGGCGCGCCAGGAGACATTATCTGAACGGCTGCTGTCCAAAAATCGTTCGCTGCGCGGATTGCTTGTACGCGGTTAACCCTTTGCACTCCACTGGTGACCAGAGGGCTGGACTTAGAAATCTGTTTTCGAATGAAATCCTATGCATGTTGTAATATGTAACTGGAAATGAAAAAACCTTGCTTTTTTAATAATGGTCCACTGTTTTTGAAACAAATGAATTTGAAAGTTTGTGTTACTGTAATAAGGCGGTTAGAAGAAGCTTAGTACAAAGGTGTCGTTTCTCCTCCGTTTTTCCTTGTTTTCCTTTGAATTATAATCTCGAAATAACCTGCACTTTATTATTAACATTATTTGATGAGAAACATTGAAGTAAAATAGCTTTGATTCTGAACTGATGTGTTTTCTCGTAAAAATTACAGTTTTGGAAAGTGTTCTCGGTGAATAAATAATTACTGACAAGTTATTTAACCAGCGAAATGGAAGAAACCAGGGATACGTAATTGTAAAGTGTCCGGACACATAATGACCGGTCGGAAAATTTTCAGACGCAAGCGGACACCGCTTAACGATAATGCGCTCCAAATCCAGGGTCAATACATCAGAGCAAATCGTGAATAAGTTAATTTCAAAGGAGCTCGCATTTTAGAACGCGACGACGAAACAAAATACCGATTTATCTGAGTATGGAATAATACTTTAACAACCGACCCATTTATCTTAGACGGCGGAACAAAGAATGAAAGTGTGTAAACAAATGGATAAATGTCAACAGTTTAAAAGAATAGAAGACTTTTTCACGAAAAATTTAACAGAACATACGAACGTATGAATCTTTCTCCCTCTAACAAGATTTAAAATATTTTGTGAACATTCATTAAGCTTCCCAGAATTTTTATATTGATTCGTTTTATTACAATCGTTTAGTCGATTTTTTCTGTACCCGATTCAGACAAAAGATTTAAAGGAATATTCGAGTCTGCTGATGTGTCAGACGATTTTATGATTATTTTTCGAGAGACGAAAAAAGTTATAACACTGGTACCTTGTATACGAGTATATTTTATTTCAGCTTGTGGCTATTTAGAATCTTTAACAAAAACTTAAAACGTTTACGACGTTCAGAGTTATAAGCCCTGTCGCGTAACGTCATCTGAACATTCTTGCAGCTTTGTCCCAAGGCTGGTGACTTTCCTATTCGCCAAAAAAAAATTGGACCAAGCGTATTTTTAATGCTTACGAGTATCGCCATCGCCGTGGATTGAAAAAATTTATTTACAAAACCGCAGTCCGCTAAAAACAGAGATATATTTCTTCTAGCTGTTTTCGCGATTTTTATCTGTGAGCCTCGCAAACAGTTGACACCGTGGGAATGTGATTTTTATGGGAGCTATAGCGACAAACATTCTATGCATAGAGAATGAATTTTGATCACTACAGATTTTCTTCTAAATTTTCAATTGTTTCCTATTCAGTTTAAACTAATTCGAAGGTTTGAAAAGCTACTGGTTCCATCGATGTATAAACACAAAGTAATAGTTTCTGATTACTTAATAAAAATATATTTCATAAAACACCTGCATTTCATAGTTTCAAACATTTGTAACGAGGTTTCAGAATATAATATTTGTTACTCTGAATTTCAAGCAGTTCTAATTTATTCCTAGCTGATCACGCGAAGAACGTTGAAATGTCCAATCACTGGATACAGCTGACTAAAAAGCGAATTATTGGCTCGATGACTTCTTGCAAGACGTTGCTTGAAGATTTCTTGTTCAAGAATACTAACCCATAAATTAACGTTGCACTTCTACTGCATATGGACCTACGATGCATCAATGGCAACCGAAAAGGTAGGGCCGGCCAGCTTTCTTTCCAAAAACAGAATTGTTACTTTCCAGCTGCAGCGAACTCGTTAATAAAAAGTTTCAAAGCTGAACGTGCCAATAAATATCCGGGAAAGGCGGTAATCCTTTCGAGACACGAAGAATTTGACGACAATCGGAAACGTTCGTATTCAGTTGCCCGTTTATTTGTTCCAGAATTGCGCAAAAACAGACGAAGAGAATTCCAGGAAAGAGTCCAGCTAAAAAAGGCGATGAAAAATGTCCTTAAGCCAAACTGAGCTTCCGATGGACCATTTAGTAGTAGCTGGCCGAGTGGAAACACTGTGTAGGCTTCAATCTTGTGTCTTGACGGACGGTAACAAAAGAAAGACCGGATCATCCATTTTTCTTTCGTTTTCCTCGTTCTGTCTCATACATATTCATTGGCTGAATTAATTTCATTTCTTTCGTTTGTGTAGAACTTCGTCGATGTAAAAGTATTTAGCACGATACAAGCGTAACATTTTAAATGTACTAATGGTAATGTTAATAGTATCGATTAATAGTACTATCGACAGTATTAATCGATCATCGTTTTCCTAATTACATTAATACTAACACATAACAATGACAGCAGAAACTACGTACTCTAATAATCTAATCCCACAAAGTTTACTAAAATTTAAATAAAAACGCCTCGTTTGCGACTCATTAAGAAAACACAGGATTAAAAAACAAATATTCCGTAGCTATCACGGTCCACCTCTCGGAGGAATTTTTCATATTTGTTTGCGCGTATCTATCGTGAACGTCCCTCAAATCCGTCGGATGGACGTCAAACGGAACCGCAGACGGAAAAGTTTTCGCTGCGTCAAGCAAACACATAAATTATAAAATTCGTATCGACGAAGAGAAACGGTTTATCGTTGACTCGTGATTTCGCGAAAGGAAAACTACGGCTGTTGCCCGCGAATTCCTTCTGATAATTCCCACAAAAAATTGTCTACGAGAAGAATACCGCAGAAACGACATTGTATCTTATCATTTCCTTCTCCTCTTCGCTATCAGTTTTTCGTCATCGCCCGGCCGGCAATGCCTGGCCTCGTTTATTTATTTTACAAATATAACCCGGAACACAAATCCACTTTTCAGGCATGCGTCTTCCTCCGTGGAATCTGATTCAGATCGTTTTCGGCGTGTTCGAATGTATCTTACGATAACAAGCATTCGCGCGATCTTCCATGGATTCTCTTATTCTAATTCCTAAGAGCCTGATTCTCACCGTCCGCGAAGGATTAACGGGGAACAGGAGATCGGCGATGACTGACGGAACGATCGGAACGCTCGGCAAGTGTGTCGAAGGACCTTCGCTTTGAATCACGATAAGGAAAAACGCAAACGGCGGGGAAAATATCTGTGTCAAGACAGAGAAACAGAAGCACGAGATCTGGTCCGTGTTTACGTGTCGATACCCAACGAACGAGAGAGACGTTAATTGCGTTCAATGTAACGGCGGTCATTGTCGGCCGCATTAATGCCGGTGCACCTCGTGCGCTGGTAAGTTATTGCTAATCGGTGTAATTCCATTCTCCGATGCGTCGACCTCTATACGAGCATCGCTATTGTTTCAAGCTGCAGGTGCATTGCCTTTTAATCGTTTCAGAAGCTATCGAACCTTCTGAATCCTTACGATTCTTCTGAATCATCAATCTTGCGTCATAACCTCTCTTAACTCCTTGCCCTACAATTTATTCCTCAATAACTAGGTACCGGAAGGAGTTCCTGTGGTTTTCCTATTAGGAATGAATCCACTGATTTCACTTGGTATTTCACTAGTTTAATTAGGTATCGATTGAAGCTATTTCATTCATGTTGTTTCAATTTTGATTGAAGCCTCGTCGGCCTCTTCTGAATATTTACGTTCACTGCGCGCCGAATAAAGTTATTGTTACTGGGTGCAACGTTTCCGGAATGAATACAAAATCCTTGCAGGCACGTTTAAACGGCGCGGCGGATCGCATCGGACAGCGTTCGCGTGGTATGTTTTCGAATTCTCACGTGCCAGAGAGCAATGACTGCCTACGTGACCACGAGCAGGGAGGCGGCCGCAGCCGCGAGATCTATAAAGCTCGGTCCGGATGCGAACCGAAACACGTCGCGAATACAGCTTTACAACATGCTCGCGACCGTCCGAACGACGCAGCGGGCCTCGTTTTACGAGACACATCAATGACACGTCGGACGTCGCACGACGAAATTGTAGAAAAAGGAGCGAAACCTGAACTTTATCGCGTATCGTTGAAACCCCCGTCGATACCGCCTCGTTTTCGTTTCCGTTTGACACCTTTGGCGCTTTGCGTCTTGCTTAACACGAAATCACCTATTCCTGAGTCCCTCTTTTTGTGATTATCAAGATAACAGATGTTTCTTTGAGAAATGATCGAAGAAATTGATTTATATCAATTTGAATTGTAAATCGATTACAGTTTCAATAGACGCACTCTTGGAGCTTCTATAGAGAAATTTGAACAAGTCAGTTTAACTGCTCGGTAGCTTTAATTTCAATTCAAAACCTATTAAAATTCAGTAATAGAAAAAAAAGTCAGAAATAATAAATTTCATATAGATTCTAAATAAATAAGTGAATGATAAAATTCATCCACGTAAAAAGTGTTAGAGAAGATGAATCCTCTGTTGCATGAATTTTTATGAGTTAAGAAAATGTATAGCTGTTATTTTATTCGAATAGTTGCGTGGTGATGAGATGAGCAAGAAAATATGAATAAACAAAGTTATTCATCGTATTTTACGACTATTCTCGTAATAGAACTTCACATGTATGTACAACTACGGAATAAATGGAATGTTTATTCTGTATAAATTTAGTTTTTCATTGGGAATAGAATGCAATATAGGGTGAGATTGCTCTCACGTGTGTTTTTATCTAAAATCGTAACTCGCCGCGTAACGTGTAGGAAGTTGACGAGATCTTTTCCTTGAATTTTATTTTCGTTTTACGAACACGATTTGTTTTGCGTTCAATACAATATTGTGACTAGGAAGATCGCTACTGGAACAAATATTGGTCGCGAACGCGTTAACAAGCGGTATAATTTATGACGCGTATAAACGTAGGATGCTGTTATATATACCCGTCGCTTTCTCGAGCTAGTTTTCAGCGAACAACGGCGAATTCGAGCACGTGGAATGTTACAGTTTGTTATGCAACGAGGTTCGACACGGTGAAAAATTTAGTCTTGCAACCTAGCCGCGTATCATGACCCCGAACCTGACCTCGCCGCAGTACGGCGTCCGTGATCGAGTTCACGTGTGTCGCTCCCTAAGCCTCGCCTCGCGCGACATTCGAGACGAGAACAGAAACTTTTCGGATTTTTCACGGTGAAACTGGGACAGCCATATTTCACCACGATTCGCGTTTGCGTAGAGTTGAATTTCCGTTAGATTCCCGTGTATCACTTCTATCAGTAGTGTTGCTCGGTTAAATTTGAATAAAATTCGCAGCTCTTGCAAAATTTGAAAATTTCAGATTTAGTTACTTTAATCTCAATTCTTCGAATGTAGTACGAGTGGATCCTTCCAATTATAACGAGCCTAGAAATGTCCAAGACTGAGTAAAGAAGTACTAATTCCAAACGATATATCAGAAATTTTAGCGTGGCTCATAAATGACCCGCACCGACCTGCCGCGTCGTTGATAAATAATTGTCCGTTGAAGGATTAAGTGACCCATTTGAAACTTCGCACAAATTCAAGCCTGAATTATCTGCAGCTTATAGTTACCAGCGCGTGAATACGTGCAATCATTGAAACTAACTGTAAGTAAGAAACGTATATATATATACATTTCAAATTTAGTTAAAAAGTATCTAAAAATGCAGAAATCACGAAGACGCCAACATTGTCTTCAAATGCGAGAAGTTCTAGTAGCTGAACGAGATACCGTACACAACAACCGAATACTCAAGTTTCAGCGTTATCCTCTTTACTGCTAAGTGTTCGTTATACGAGGTACTTTCGATCTGTTTCGACGCGTACCGTTCCTCCTCGAGTGCATTACTCATCGTGAAATTACTATAATTACAACTAGCAGATATATTACTGGAACGTTACATTCGATACGACCGGGGAGGCAGTAATCCTCGAATCTGGCGATCGCTTCTCGGAACCGTGCACTGCTTACGTTAGTTCAATAAAATCCAGCGATCCCGTTTCACTCACAAACTTTTCGTAGAAATTCATGCTGGTTTCGGTCGGTTTGACGCAGTGACTTCTGCCGAATTACGCACGACTCGTCGCGACGCGGCGACGGTCACGCTTATCGCTGTAAGTCGATGGCGTCTATTGTCTTATCTCCATCGAGACCGATAAACGCGAGGGGAAATCACTGGCCGTATCGAATGGCCGATTAATCAAATCGAGTCCTCGGGCAATGTCGCGTGGTTTCTCGTATTTATAGAAACGCGTCATTATCTAAAATTGGAAGGCTGCGGAGGGAGCAAACGCGTCTTCAATATCGCCGCGCCGTGCGCCATTATTTCATCGGATTTAAAACGATGATTTCATCGTGTCCCACAGCTATGCAGGCTACTGAATCGCGGATTCGCGGATTCGCTGATCCGCGCCAGTGCAGTGGGTGCGCGCATCTTGCCGGTGTTGTGAAAATCAGCTCTGAACCTGGAGCCTTGAAAGCTGCAGCCGCGACTCGAACCTTCGGAGTTTGAGCGCTCAAGGCTGGCGCCTTGGGCTCTAAAAGCTGAAGTCTTTAATGCTTCTGTCGTTAAGCTTGGGAGCTAAAACTGAGGTCTAAGAAATTTGGAATGTCTTAAAGTTTAATCTTCGAGTATGAATTTTCCAATGCCGTGTTTATATAACAGCTGACAACCACAGATCGAGTCTTCGGCTGTTTTCAAGCATTAAAGATTTCAGCGTTGAAGGCTCTTAAGCCTTTGTTCGAGTTTTTGAAACTTCAAGGCTTGAATCTTGAGTCTTGATGCTTCGAAGACTTAGCATTTCAAGTTGTGCCTTGAAGTCTTCGAAGACTCAGTTTTACAAGTCGAGCCTCAAAGTCTTCGAAGACTCGAGCTTTATTGAACTCCAAGCCTTCAAAAAGTCAGCCATTAAGGTTAAGCTTTGAAGCTTCAAAGACTCAGCCTTTCAAATTGAGTTAGTCTTTGAAGACTCCAGCTTTATTAAACACCAAGCCTTCAAGAAGTCAACCATTAAGATTAAGCTTTAAGCTTCAAAGCTCAGCCTTTCAAATTGAATCTTAAAGTCTTCGGATACTCGAGCTTTATTAAACACCAAGCCTCCAGAACTCAGTCTTAAAGATTAAGCTTCGAAGCATCGAAGACCCGAGCATTTCACAACGCTACAGCTTGGTCACTTTGATCCAGTTTCTGAGAGAATCATTGCGAAAGAACCGTCTCCGGAGAGGCGACGAGGAAAAAAAGGAATATGTCGTCCGATTACCAAGTTAAATCGCCACCGAGCCAGTGTGCATGCGAGCGGACACGGCGGACGTTCGCGCGCTACGTGGAAGGTGCTCAAATAAATCCGTACGAATCGATCTGCGATGTCAATGGCCGATACGACGGTTCAAGCGGCCAAGACACGAAGCCGCGTTCTATATCGCGGCCCGAAGAAATTGCCCGGTTGCTGTGAGCGCCGCACCGTCCGCGCGACCCTCGGCGCGGTGCTTCGCGCATTCGTGTGCTGGGCGATTCAACGATCGTGGACCGCATTCTTTCGAATGATTCGATGACTTGTCCAAAATGGCAAACTGCCCTTTCCCTTGGCCTTTTGTGTGTCGATGTGTACGTTTATATGGAGCGATACGAGTAGAATCTGATTATTTAACCCCTTGCCGCACACTTTTAGTTCTAAAATCGTGCCCGGAAACGCAGTTTTCTTTTTACTTGTTTCTTTTGACTTGTCCAGATGAATAATTAATTACCTAGACTGTTGCGTCATTTTTGTTGAATGTATTACTGAGGAATAAACAAATAAATGCATTTACAGTCCGTAAAATGGACGGCTATACGCGTCGTTTGCGGCAATTTAATAACTTGCTAGAAATTATGGTTCGTTCAAATAATTTTCGTAATTCCATAGCATTTAGTAATTCTGTTAATACAATGAATAGATAACGTCCTGTTCAATGGACTTGTTGCTGGTTATTACGTAACGAACTACAAATTAGTATACTCCAATGAAAAGTACTCTACCAGTTATAATAATCTAAAAAGATTATCTTAGCATACAATCTGATCGCTTACATTAGTTGTATTATATAATACTAGATTGCAGCGGCTGTTTGAAATTGATTTTTGAAGACTTTAGAATCGTCATCATTTCAAACTAATGTAATTTCTACTCTGTCGAGAATCCTCAACGCATTACTCTGGTAAACTATTAAAAATGCCGTACTTCAATAATTACTTTCAAAATCGTCATTCCTTCTCCAAACAATTCTATTCAAATATATTTCTAATAACCTCTATATATCCTACAGCTAAACTTTAAATTCATTAGAACTACATATAAAATGTTTTTCTTATAATTAAAAAAACTATAGGGTGATTACATTTAAATTAGACGCCCTGTATAAAGATTTCAGGGAAATCTATCATTTTTCTCGATTCAGAAAAACGGATGTGCATTTATCGTCGACAATGCAGTGCCAATAAATGGTACCCACGGTACCATTACTTTCTTTGATCTGAAGTGAACGATACCGCGTCTTCAAACGGTTCGACCCAGTTTTTCGAATCACCCTGTACGCTACGTATGTGTTTCCAGTCTATTCTCGATCTCTTGCAAATGTTTATGACCAACCGTGTCGACAGACTCGTGAATGTCACTCGTTGCGAGCTTCTGAACGAACAACTTGAATGCGTATAAACGTCACTTCCCTTGACAATAGAAGCCACGAATGCGAACGCGATAGGCTCGTGCCACGCTTCCTTCAAAAGCTGTGCCCTTCCGAGCCGATAAACACGGCCATGCAACCTTATCGTCCAATTTTGATTTGTAATACGTATACTATTATAAATTATTTTTATATTCACTATAAATTATAATTTAAAGCATAATTATATGACATAATTTATTAACTAAAGTAACTGTAAGTCAATAAACTGTAGAAGAACGTTAACAGTAGAATAATTGGTATATTAATACTAATATATTAGAAGATAATAAACAAGTGACTCATTATTCTGAAATATAAGAGATAAACAAATTAACTGATTTTCAAGTGGATATTTCTTACTTATTTAAAAACGTAGAGCAGTATTTTAAAATATAAAAGATAAACAAATTAACTGTTTTTCAAGTGAATGTTTCTTACTTATTTAAAAACGTAGAGCAGTATTTTAAAATATAAAAGATAAACAAATTAACTAATTTTCAAATGAATATTTCTTACTTATTTAAAAACGTAGAGCAGTATTTTAAAATATAAAAGATAAACAAATTAACTAATTTTCAAATGAATATTTCTTACTTATTTAAAAACGTACAACGGTGGTATTTAACGCGGACGTGTACCAACGTTTGTATGACTGTAGAAGAGTGGGGGCAACGAGTCAAAATCGCGCACCTGTGTATTCGCGATAACGGTCGTTGTAGTTTTCCGTATATTCAAGATCGCGGCGGCTCTTGTTAAATTTGCCAGCGAATTACTGTTTATATGGAATAAATACATCACCAATGGAACTAATAGTGACATTAAAAAAATTCAATGAGTCAGTGCCGATTAATCTGAATGAATTAATCGTACACAATTGTTCATTAATTAACATCAGAACTACCGAGCATTTAATACCTAATTAATTCTAACAATAAATTATTTATTTTCAATATTTCGAAAATATTTAATATTTTAAAGATATGAATAATTACGAAACAAAAGAACCAGAACCAGTCATTTTGACTGGTACGGTAGTTCCAGTGTTGAAGGAGATTGTTTAACGTCGATCTACATAAGCGTAACACTGCTGGGCTATGTGGTTCACATGCTCGACTGAGAATTTTGGTCAAGCTTACGGCTTATTGTGCCATTATATTATTCTGTGGTCGCTTATGGCTTATATCGAACAGCTGAACCTGTGTAAAACCCATAACAAATGTATAATATTAATGCAAGTTACTCTATGCCACTGGTACATACTAATTTACTCCTTTGCGTATTAATTACTTTCGCTCATGTGACGACCTCATGTGACATTTTTATTATCGATGATTTCGAAGAAACGAACGACGAAGGTGTCAAGTGGCACCTTCTGAAATTTTATCTTAAAATAATTTTCCAAATTTAGTCGTATATTCTGAATCGACTTCTCGACTTTTCCAATAACGATTATAAAATTAACTGCAGGGAATGTCAAAAATTCGATTGAGGGCAAATTATTAAACTGAGAAAATAATTTGAAGTTAATACTTCAAAAGGTGTTTTTCGACACCTTCGGTAGAAACAGTGCTGGATTAATCTAGAAATTAATCCAGATCTCACCACGAGTCTCACTCGCCATTATATGGCAACGGGTTAACTAGCACTCTCGACGCAGGCTATAGAATCTATGTAAATATTTTCGGACGGTATTAGACAGGATAACGCCAACAAGGCCGACGGCGTGGATCGCTTGCGTCGCCAGCAAAAAAAGAATCAGAAAATACAACGGTGATTCATTCGCGTTGCATGCGACCGTCTAATTTAAACGCAATTATTCCCGAGCAGAATGTGCAGAGGCACGTGTAACAGATACAGCAAAGTCACACTTGTTTCCTCGCGAATCATGAATTATGTTAATATTATCATTCACATCCGAGCAAAGGCGCTTAACGTCCCGATAAAAATGGCTACACGTAACAAGCAGAATTTCCCGAAGACATCGTCGATACTCACCTCTCGTATTTCACTTGCATCGAATGAGCAGAGTTGTCCTCCCAATAATTCTGTGTCTCCATCATCTTGACGCATAGAATCACTTCCAACTCGCGACACGAACACTTCTGACTCTCGGCCGTAAAATATCTTTTTTCTCAGGCCCCTGTTAGATTCTTTATGTTCTCACAACGAAAATCGTCGCACTTTCTGTATTCGAATTCACGCTTCAAGTACGCACGTCAAATCTCGGTTGTCTCGCGGCGTAGCTGAGCGGGAAATTTATGAACGCACAAACAGTATTTCCGCTGATCGCGAGATTGGGCATGAACGATGATCAGCGTGTATATAAGAGAATAGAAGAGAGTCGTGGTCTTCTTTAAAATTGATGGCTCCTTAATCGATAGTGCGCACTCAACGAATAGGTTAGGTTCACCTCCTCATACTCACTGACACTCCTAACGACACGACGGACCAGGAGGCCGGTACTTGGGAATCGCCCACGTCTTTCCGTCCAGTCACACTCGCCGATATATCTGTGCTGGCGCCCTCTTCTTTTCTTCTTTCTCTTCCTTCCTATTTCCCGAGAACTTTTTAGTGAAATCGTCGATCGACGATCGATCGTTATCTCTCTAAACGATACAGTTTTTACACCCAGTTCCACGATCGAAACGACAAACAAAAAATGTTCACCGTCGGAAAAGCCTGGCGTCGGCGGGGGGAGGGAGGGAAAAAAGAAATAACTGTTCGATCTTCAGGCCTAAAATGCTACGCGATAAGGCCGTTGACTTGTTCGACCGTGAAATTCCACGGATGTACTAACCGACAGGAGCGTAAAAATTCAACGTTCCGCGCGCATTCACTCGCGCATCATTATGTCTGTTATTTATGGTATCTACGCTCGGACACGTAACGTATTTGAAAAATTGATATTAGGTATTTCAGTCAGAATTTAAATTAAATCCCAAATCAGCGGTTACATCGCATGAGAGAATATTCAATGCACTCTGTACGTCTGTCTGTCTGTGTTTATCTCTCTCTCTCTCTCTCTCTCTCTCTCTCTTTCTCTCTGTCTGTCTCAGTCGACAGATCTCTATGAGTTAGCGGTTAGGATTTCAATTGATAAAAATAAAGAGGTTCGTTCGAAGAGTTCGTATCGCGACGTATATAGGCGTACGGCGTTCCCTTGGGAGGTTACACTACGCGTATAATACGCGGCCCTGTTCGATTCTCGCGATGGGCCGCGGTGTGGCATGCAGACCACTGGTGGGAGCAATTCGTAGCCGTCTCAGGCACGGACCATCGATCCCGGAGCCACGTAACTCGAACTTGCCGGTCGGTATCTCATTTGTTTCGTCGTTCGATACTATCGAACAGAGACGATTGTCACAGTCAGATCTTTGTCTTTATCGACTTAAGCAATAGTAGTAACAATATTGAAACTGTCGTGTCATACCGTGCGACTGATAATAACCACGTGCCCGTTACGTAGTTCGATTTTCAAAATAAATCCCTGGAATCTTGGGACGAGGATAACACGAGTACGGTAAGAGCCTGTGTTCACTGACTTGGTAAAATATGATAAGATGGTTTATTCTCGATGCATCACGTTCCGATAATGTCACGCGTAGACGGACAGCGCGAGCTCCGAATAATTTCGACGACGGCCAGTGCCCGATGAATTTTAAATTTCTCACCGATTTATGAATTCATTCTAAACGCATGTTTGCATCGCTCTCTCGATTGCTTCATCTAGAAACTAATTGGCACATCATTGCAACACGCGAGTGTCGCGTGCGTTCAGGTAGTACGTTACACGACGTTGATTTATCGGTGATCTGTAATCGACAATCCATCGTTTTACCGAATGAATAAAATTCAAAATTACCGATGACAATAGAGGGTCGACGCCACTGTAATTCCCAATTATGCAACGAGCGGATACTCTGTTTTACTCACTGACCCATCAGTTATCTGATTTTAACTATTCATTTACTCTCGTTCGTTCTCAGAAAATTAAGGGAAATTAAATAAACTACCGACGACGATAATGCGTCGACGACAATTCTCTGTAAATAAACGTACGACGCCCGCCTCTGAATACGTATGCACGCGGCGGCAATATTACCGAGGAATTTCAAGAATCCAACGTCGAACGACTCGCGGCGGTAACGTCGATTACATCGAAGACAACGGCGTCAGATAGGGTTTCGTTTTTGAGGTTATCGGACGCGATACCGGAGTTACGTTGCGCGCCGATTATCCGTGGAGCACGAGGCAACTATGTAAGTAGGTATCTAGATACGTTTCGCGACGGTATCTGCGCTTTCACCCTCCCATTTCACCGGCGATACGATTCAACGACGCTCGAGGTGAAACCAGTGATTTTTCTTCCTTCCTCGACTAGGAGGATCACCGTGTCACGTAACGATTCCGCGTGATGATGCAAATCCGGCCAGCCGGGAATAGCACCGCGCGACGGGTCGAGTTTGTTGAGACGCGGGAGGAGGACGAAAAAAAAAATGGTGACTTTCCAGGTGAAAGTCTGGGACGGAGGGGGTGAAGTGGG